GGAAGCGGAGACGGTTAGAAAATTGATTCGATTCCATTTCCTTTTGCGCGCGTTTTTTAAATGTGAAAAAAAAAAAAAAATTTCTTTTTTCGCGATTCCAGAAGCGGAAGAGTCAAAGGAAGACAAAACAGACGACGAAGAGAAAAAGGAAAAAAAATCAGACGAGGAATCGAATCTCGGAGTTGAATTCATTCGTAAGGTCGAAGCGCTTTATTGCGAAGTTTGCCGAACGTATTTGCCGCAATCGTCGGACGAAGAAAGAGCTCTGAGAGTTCATTGCAGGAGCAACAGTCATTTCGATTGTTATTTTAAATTCGGAGACGACAAACTCTTGGAAAAGATTCAGGGTAAAAAAGCCAAGGCGGAGCCTGTGAAACCGGAAGGGGAAAAAGAACAAGTCAACAAAACGGAGGAAAACGCGAAAGAAAATGAAAATCACGAAGATGGCGGCGAAGACGAAGACAAACTATGGGCAGACGTTTCGGATTTATTGAGTCAAGTCGAACCCGAGACGAAATCGGATGACGAGGACGAAGAAGAAGGTGAGTGTAGGGGTGGGGGGTAGGTGAGGGAAGGGGAGAACTTGATTTGAGTCATGGGTCATTAAAATTTTAATTAATTTTTAACTCTCTCTCTCTCTCTCTTTCTCTCTCTCGACGTAGGTGGTCGATTCGATAGATTTAAATCAAACGAGAAAAAAGAAAACGGAGAAGTTAATTCGTCCGAAGAAGGAGGAGGAGGAGGTGGTGGTGGTGTTGTTGGTGGAGGTGGGGGAGGAGGAGAAGAAAAGGAAAACGTTAGCGGAAAATCCGCGGAAGAAGTCACAATTAAAGAAGAATTAATACCGATATAATAATCTTATCTCACGATCATTTTTTTTAGAAGAAGAAGAAGAAGTAAAAAATAATAATAATAATAATAATAATAATAATAATAATAATAATAATAATAACGAATTTAATATTCGATTGGCATTGATAATTTTTTTTTTTATTTTTTTATTATTATTATTATTGTCGTTTTGTTCGATAGTTGAAATTAAAAAAAAAAAATTTTTTTTTTTTTTTTGAATTTTAGTTTGAGTAATATATAACGAGTTGTTTAAAATTATAAATTATTATTATCATCATTTTATTTTCTTTTTTTCCCGCTCGCGCGCGCGCGCGCATCACGCGACCACACGTGATCAATTTTTTGCTCCTGCCACGAAATTTACCTCTTTTCATTCAAAAAAAAAATTTATTTTATTTAAATGCCTAAAATAAATAAATAAATGAAAAAAAAATTTTTTTTTTGTTTATCAAGGTCAAAAGAAAGAAAAAACCTAACTAAACCTAAATTATAAATAATTAACAATAATAAATCAATTGTGTGTGTGTGTGTGCCTTTAAAAATGACCTCAACTCGATTTGAAAAATCAAAACAAATTTCTTTTCTACGGAGGCCACCATCTTTGACCTAAATTAACTATAAAATATTATTATTATTATTTTATACAAGAATCAAGGTACTCTACATCACTTTATACGTGTGTAAGCGATAAAAGAAAAAAAAACGTTTTTCTAACACTAATTTATATATATGTATGTAAATCATTTAATTATTTAAAATAAAATTTATTAAAAATAAATAAATAAGTAATAATAATAATAATTATAATAATCATAGCAAAAACAAATAATGCAGTTTCATAATAATAATAATAATAATAAATTATAACTCTATAAAAATTAATTTTATTACGAAATGAATAACGAATAATAATAATAATAATAATAATAATAATAATAATAATAATAATAATAATAATAATAATAATAGTAATAATAATAATAATAATAATAATAATAATAATAATTTTTACATTTTTTTAATTATTATTATTATTTTGAATTAAATAAAATCAATTTATTGACTAGAATTTTACTTTAAAAAAAAATAAAAAATTATGGGGCAAAAAAAAAAAATTAAAAATTTTCCATTTGAATAATCATTTATATATATAAGCAAACATTAAAAATTTCTAATAATAATAATAATGATAATAATAATAATAATAAGAAAAAGAAGAAGAATAAGAAGAAAATTATTACTTTGCCCCATATATATATATAATAAATAAAAACACTAAAAACACTAAGAAAAAAAAAAGACCGCCATTTTTATTTAAAAAAAAAAAAAATCATTTGAAAAACAATTAATAATAATAATAATAATAATAATAATAATAATAATAATAGTAATAATAATAATAATAATAGTATGATAACGTTTTGCTTTTTTTTTAACATCTAAAAAATTTTTTTTTTTTATTATTTCTATCCAATTTTTTTTTGATTAAATTAATTTTATCATTATTATTATTATAAAACATTACTGTGTGTTTGTGTGTTTATTTATATTGGGGGAGGGGGGAACTAATCAAATAAAAAAAAATAGTATAATCTAAAAGTATTAATGTTAAATCATTATTATGTTCTTTTTCTTTTCCCCCCCCCCAAAAAAAAAATTTAAATAAATAAATAAATAGTATTATTATTAATAATTACTATCATCGATTGACTACATTCAACCACTTACTAATCATCTAATAAAACTAATTTTAATGAAAAGAAAAGAAAAGAAAAAAATCATCATCATCATCATCATCATCACACAGTAATGAATAGCAATGAGCAAACGTTTTGCATATAAATAACTTTTTTTTTTTTTTTCCTCTTATATTTATTTATATATATATATTTTTTTTTTCTTATACTGATTTTTAATAAAGCAATAGCTATCAGAAAAAACAATAATAATAATAATGATAATAATAATAAATTTACAACAAACAAACAAACAAAATATATGTGTGTGTGTGTGTGTATGTAGACAATTAATGTAATTTTTTTTTAAAACACATCAAGCACTAATTATTAATTAATTAATTAACCTTTTAAAATAATAATAATAATAATGGGTATGATTTTACCTTAGAAATTATAAAAAAGAAGTAAGTAGAAATAAACAAACAAACAAACACAAAATAAAATAAATTAAATTTTTTTCTGTTGTTGGCAATGCACTTTTTTTTAAAATTATTATTATTAATAACCGTTATAATTTTATCCTTTTTAAACGTGAAAGACTACTACCACTACTACTACTACTACTACTCTTAATACTAAAATAAATGTCTGTTAAATAATAATATAAAATGAATAAACAAAACAAATTGAATGTGTTGAAAAAAAAAAAAAAAAACAAAATGATTGTTTGTAAAACAAAAGGCCATCATCCAAATCAATTGATTTATAACAGTTTTTTAAGAGAAAAAAAAAAAAATTAAAAATGGTGGTAAAAAATTATAATCATAGTACTTAATGTGTCACCATAATTAATCAAAAAATATTATTTTTTTGTTATTTTTTCCTTTTTTATGATTTTTTTTAAAAAATATTTTTTATTAAGAAGCTTTTCTTTATTGTGTGTGTAACTTTTTGACTAAATATTATAAAGCTAGCTTGCTAAATAATTAAATCATTATGATCACCATTATTATTATTATTATTATTTTATTTTTCCTCATGATTTTCCTTTCTTTTCTATTAATTTAATAATTTTAGGCGGTTTTTATTTTCTTATTCAAAAGTCACAATAATTTAAAATGAGAAAAAAAATTTTCTTTTTACTGTCACAAATTTACCAAGTAAACCAAACAACAAATTCAAATTTTATATATATATATAAAAACCAAATAATACCATTATTATTATTATTATTATTATTATTAGATATTAATAAATTTTCACTTACCGAATTATTAAACATATACATAAAATATTTTCAATTATTTCTTTCTTTCATTTTTTTTTTTTTGTTTAAGACACCTATAATAATAAATTAGCAATAATAACATAAAAACAAAACAGAACAAATAATAATTAACGTAACTTTTTTTTTTTTTTTATAAAACAATTTTTCACAACTTAATTAATTATTTCATTTACATAAAAAATAAATTAATAATAATTATTATTATAATCATAACCCGAAATCCAAAACCTTTCTACGTTTGCTTGCTTTTTAAAAATAACGGTTTTCGCATTCGAAATGAAAAATAAAATAAAAACGACACTACTGCTACTAACGCTCGCTACTACGTAAAACAATTCAGGTTCTTTTTTTTTTTTTTTCGTTTAAATTTACAACGTTAAAATTAGTCAAATCAGCATTCCGATAAAATAAATATAAATATATATATATATATTGATTCGTTAAAAAATTTAAATTTTAATTATTTATCCTTACAAAAACAAAAAAATATAAATATTTATTTATTTATTATAATTTATTTTAAAAATTTAAAATTTTAAATTCACAACCCATAGAATAACGTCCAATTATAATAAAATTTTACTTAATCCGTTTAATAATAAACATTCGCGTTTTCTTTTCTTTTTACTACAATATTTAATAAAAAAGGAAAAAAGAAAAATTTAGCTTTTGTTTCAATTTTTTTTTTTTAAGGCGAAAAATAATAAACAGCATAAATAGCTTTTATGATAAAGAAGATAGAGATAGAAAGAGTTAGAGAGAAAGAGAGAGAAAGAATATATATGTATATATACATATACACATACAAAACGTGTACCTGGTTTTAGGTATAATAATTTAAATAAGGCAACGAAGCTGTACACAAGTTTGATTAGTTTTTTTTTTTTTTTTTTTTGTTTTCCCCTCCTCCTTGTTTTTTTTTAAAAATAATAACGTGTAATAAGAAAAAAAAAGGAACAAAATGAAATAACGAAAAAAAAAATTAACAAGCAATCGTGTCGGGTAATGGATTTTCGGTGATATGAATTACGTTCTTAATTGATTTATATGTTTTACATCTGGAGTCTAAGACGTCTACAGATCTTTCTCGAACCATCCTCTGGATTTTAGGATTCCCCATTGATCGAGGTATCGCTGAAATTAAACAAAAAAAAATAATAATAATTAAAAATAAATAGGGGCGAATACATTATTTAAATCGTTTTTTTTAAACATTAGGATCTTATTAAAAGTTTTTTTTATTTTTGTTTAAAAGAAAAACTTACCGGAAATGAACGAAAGAACCGATCGAGAACAAAGAAAATTTTTTTTTTTTTTAATTCAATGTACAAATCCAAGCAATAACATTTAAATAACACCGACTTAGGTTTTTTGTGAAATAGGGAAGGGGAAGGGGAAAAAACATTTAAATATTTTTTTTTTTTTTGTAAAATGTGCGAAATTGATAAATAAATAAATGCTCGGTGAAAATTTCAAAAAAAACCGACGATTGTGACCTCCATTAATTAATTTTTTTTTTTTTAACCCGTCATACGATATCGCATTTAAGAAAAAAAAAAGGAAAAGTTTGCAAAAAAAAAAAAAAAAAAAGAAAACAAAAAGAAAACTAGGACAACAAGCGTGAAGTGAAAGATATAATTTTTTTTCTTTTAAAAAAAATTAAAAAATTTTCCGTCGACTTTGTTCCGCGAACATATTTAAGAAAAATAATAATAATAATAATAATAATAATAATAATAATAATAACATTCACAACGACTCATACGTCATCAGTTATCACTACTATATAATAAGTAAAAGTACAAAAAATTTAAACATTTAAAAAAAAAAGAAAGAAAATTTTAAATGGATCTTTTGTTACCGCATGCAACATTCGTAATCCTTTCCTACAATTTTTAAAAAACGACAACGACAACAACGACAACCACAACAACAACAGCAACAATAACACTACAAAATGACAAAGTGATTTTTCACCATATTTTTCACTACAACAGTTTAAAAAAAAAACAAAAATTACTACAAAATAAATTACTCACGACAACTATTGCATATTAATATACATAAAAAAAAAACTACGAGAGAGATTTGAAAGAAAAAACTATTATTATTATTATTATTATTATCATTATTACTATTATTATTATTATCATTATTACTATTATTATTATTATTACTATTATTGACCGACCAACAAATTGTGCTTGGAGAAAAAAAAGAAAAAAAAAAAAAATTCCTCATTATCATCATCATACCCTACAAAAATTCATCTCAACTACTTTTTTAAAGAAACAATCACGTGATTAAATCAATCAATCAATCAA